GCTTTGAGCCACCTGCTAACTGAGCCTTTGTCGCAGGTCCTCATGCCTGTCCCCTGACCCGGCGTGCTCATCTTTGCTGTCTGTGTAAGGGCGTAGGTGGCCCTTGCCGGGGGCTTGGAGGCTGACTGTGGGCAGAGGGCGAGACGCGGGAGGAGTCCTGCATCCTCGCCTGGAGGGTAGCGGGGTAGACGGCAGGGAGTGGTGCCCAGGCTGGCACTCCACCTGGTCACCTGCGTGGAGCCAGCAGCCGAGCTTGGCGCATCGTAGGAGCTCCATATGCAGCAGGACTGGTCAGGTGGAGTAGTCACTGTCCTGCCTCGTCATCAGCTTGGGGGACCCAGAGCTCAGACCAGGCTGCCTGTGGGTGACCAGGGGGCCAGTTTCCACCCGACCCGCCCTTCTAGGGATACCCCGCCTCGCCACCATCCCTGTCCCCGCACGTGTGGGAGCCCCCCTCGCATCTGTGAAGTCCAACAGCAGGGGCGGGTCCTGGAGGTCACTTTGAAAGGTGCCCCGCGGAGGCCAAGACCTTGACCTGGACAGCAGAGCTAAGGGAAGGGACAGCCCCGGACGTACCCCCCGTCCTGCCCCCTCTCTCCTGTGCTTCTTCCCTCCCCGGCCTCTCACCCACTGGGTGAAGTGCGGCTCTTCAGACCTCAGGGGCGGGAGCGGGGGTGGGGGCAGGGAGGCAGTCAGAGGAGAGCCCGCCCCCGCTGCGTCCTTTTCTTCCCAAGTGTGTCCCAAGCCAGCAGGGTCGCGGCATCGAGAAGCTTCCAGGGCCTCCCTCCACGGGCCGCGGTACCTGCAAGATAACATAATGGGGGGGACACCCCAGCTGGGGAGGCAAACAGGCTTTTATTGGGCCAGGAGTGAGGCTGGGCCTCCGCCCGAGTTGTCTTACTCCAACTGGGGAGACCAATGGGCTGTGGTCAGCACTGTGCCTTTCCCCTCCAGAGCCAGGAACAAGCGCAGACATGACCCATGTGGCAAGTGGCCAGTGCCTCCCCGCCCGCCCGAACAGGCTGGGCCAGCCAGGCTGGAGACACAGTGCTTCCCTGAGGCACTGGGGAGGCTGTCTTGGCCAGGCCTTGGCCTCCAGCACAGAGCCAGGGAGGGGACTCCCACACCAGCCTCATCGTCCCCCAGCATCCCAGTCTGCCCTCCCTCTGGGGATGAGGCCCTGTCTGTGAGCCTGTGGGCCCTGTGTCCAGCACAGCTCCCATGCTGCAGGGCTGCTGGCGTGGGGTGGACGGGCAACAGGCCAGCGCGGGGCGACCAAGTCCAGCACTGGCGTGTGCTGGCACCACCCACTAATGCCTCCCTCGTGCCAGGGGCACCCAGCCCGGGCTCCCTCGGCCTCGCAGCTGGCACTGGAGCTGTTTGAGCTGAAGCCATGTGCTCCTGCCTATTCCTTGAAGCTGCACCAACCTGAACACAGGCGGCCATCGGACGTTCTGTTTCCGTTCGCTCTCATCCTGAGTATTGAACCCGGAGCTCTGTGTACCACTCGGCTGCGTCCCCAGCGCTTCCCATTGCTCTCTGGAGATGGGGTCTCTCGGCCTCTTGTCCAGGCTGGTCTCGACCTTACAGTCCTGCCTCCGCCTCCCAAGGCACTGGGATTACTGGCATGCACGTGTGACTTCTTAGTAGAGGGCTTTGTCAAGGACCTACTGTGTGCAGAGAGGAACCCACAGCGGTTTTACGTTTTGCATCTCAGATGTGAGCCTCACAACTCCCTAGAGAGAGGTGCTGTTCCAGTTTTACATAGGTGCGAACTGAGGCCCAGAGAGGTCTCCCGGCTTGCTTGAGGGCACACAGCTCTGGACCCAGTGGAGCAGATAACCCTTCTCAGCATGCCTTAAATTCCAAGTGCCCTGCTCTGGCAAACCCAGGCTCCCAGTCCAGTAGGGAAGCAGTTGAGAGTTTGGCTCCCCTTCCAATAGTTTTATTGGAAGGCAGCCCTGCACATCAGTGCTCTCAACTGCAGGGGCAGTGAGCAGTTGTGGCAGAGACCTGTTGCCCACGAAGCCTCGGGTCCTCGCTGCCTGGCCCCTCACTGGAAGTTTGCAGTCCCGAGGCTTTGCGGGCTGGCTGCCCTTGCTTTATCCAAAGGCCCCTGGTGGCCAATTCCTCCTAAAATGACCGTCCTTCCTCCACGTATAATTCTGGAACCTCCTACCTGCCTCCCCTGCCCTGTTCTGCCCAGCCCCAGGCCCCTGGCTCTACCCACCTGGTTGTCCCGGTACTTGTGGGCACAGAGCTGACCCTGGAGCGGGACAGAGAGATGTGATTACCATAGTTACCAAGTCCTGTGCAGGAGATAGAAAGGGTAGATGGCATGATTCACTCTGTTCCCTGGGGGGCTTACAGAAACCTTCCAGGAAGGCACCATTTATCTGATTGGAAGGGACCAGGCAGCAGAGATCTGGGGGCAAGAAGCATGCCAGGCAGAGGGAACCACAGGTGCAAAGGCCCTGAGGCAGGAACCTGTTCAGAGCAGGCCTTAGTATCTGGAGAGCAGGCCCAGCATGGGAAGTGGTAGGAAGGGCCTGGCTTTCATTCAGGGTGCAGTGGGAAGGTCTGAGAAGGGAGGCGCGTACCAGGGCCAGGCTCACACGGTCAGACCTCCTCCTCGCTGCTGTGTGGGGTGGTGTTGGAGAGGCACAGGGTGCAGGTTGGAGTGAGGACAGTAACCAGAGCAGGGCCGGGGGTCAGGAGAAGCAGGTGGACTGTGCGTTTCTGGAGAAGGTAGTATCGCTGACAGGCTCCTAGGGCAAGAGGGAGAGCAAAGGCCATGCCCAGGTCTTGGCTCCGGGTCCCCCAGCACCATGGGCCCACGAGAGGAGCCCCTGGGAAGCTGGAAAGAACAGGTGTGTGGTGGGTTTCTGAGCCAGCTGGGTTCCAGGCACCTGTTTGGTCACCTTGGGTATCACCAGAGACATGCGAGTCGGAACTCACAGGAAGTCGGGGCTGAGGGATGAATGTGGAGCCGACAGCATGGAGGGGACATGTGGAGCCCAGCGGCTCCCGTAAGCCCTCCCAGATCCAGTCACCCACAGGACAGCACGCTTTTCAGAAGACCAGGACCAAGAGAGCCTGGTGTCCTCCCGCCAGCCCTCGCAGATAGGCCTCCTTGATCTTGACCATGGAGACATAATCATCAGGCTTTAAAATCATGGTCAGGAAATTTCTAGCAAGTATGTGAAGTCACAGGATTTATTATTCAAAA